TTCCTTAATATCATTAAAAAGCTGGTAAGTGTACTTTAACATATACATTTTAGGTAGAATTTTATCCACACTCCATATTCCTAAGAACTACTCAATCCTTTTGTATGTCAAGGTTCCAACTAACAATTCAATTGTTTCAAGTAAATTGATTTGAATGCATTAATAAATCAGTTCTTCACCTACAGTAGTGATTTTTACAGAAGCCACTTGTCCACATATTGCATGAGTATGTTCTATCATACTCATTGCCCGTTGGAACCTTGTCATTCTAAAGAAAATGTATTTAACATAGATGTGGGCATGCAGGGTGCCTGAGTCACCCCAGCATTGTTTCAAAGCTCACTGTACTTTTACTGTAATTAGTGTACTGTAATTTTTCAAATTTTTCAGTACCTCTTAAGGAATGCTTCATGCACATATCTGCTTTCTGCTTATCATTCAACTGCTTCCGGTTGTTTCTGAGAAATTACATTACAAAGTAAATGTGATGTGGCATGAGGTCATTGAGTCACCCTGCTCCTTGCTTCACGGCAGATCACACAGGAGTTCACAGCAGATCACTGTTGATGAGCCAGTAACACAAATCATATCATTCTCAAGTTATTTCAATCATACATCATGGTAACAGATATTTACATTGTTTGATTGACTATAATATATTTATATTATACCAATATATGCTTTTATTTCTCATTTTCTCTTTTGCATAGTCATTCTATGTTTGTTTCTGTTTTTAGTTGTTGTTTGTGTGTGTGTGTGTGTGTGCGCGCGCACATGTGTTTTTTTAGGCTGCTTTGTACCTGCTCTGGTCATACTGTAATCCCTGTAATTATATTAACACAGGTTTATGTTTTTCAGGGTAACGGTAAGGGGAACACATACGGGCAACATGAACACACACAAACATACATACACATCCCTTCTTGGGGCTGGATTCAAACCCGCAAAGTCACAGCCCTTCATCCTTAGCAATCTCGGCTGATGCGGATTATTGTGTTATATAATTTATGTTATTACATTTCTAGTATTTTAAAATGTTTTCTTGGTGCAAAAAGGTTTCAGTATGAATAAAAAAAATGAAAAATTTGAGCATTCTATTCAATATGTGAAGTAATTATACATTTATTAAACATATGAAGTATATTTGTAAAGGTTGTTTGAAAAAACAAATTTATAGAAATCAATAAATCACTTATTGGTTCGAAACTCGTAATATAAACTTTAAAATAAACATGTATTGACTAAAGAAACAAAAGAGTGTATTATTTACTGTTTTCTTATCCTATTTACTGTGAGGTGACTGAGTCTCATCAGGCTTCAATTCATTAGAAAAAATGGCAAGCCTACTGCCGAGTTAAGCATAATTATTTTTTGTACAAAAATATTTTTACTGTTCCTTATTCTCAAGTTATTAATGCAAAATATTTTTCATGTGAAAGTGTGATTGTAAAAAGTTTGGAGTAATTTCATTCCAGATATGTACGGAAGGTTTTGTTATTAACTTCAAAAAGAAATATTTACAGTTGGTAATGGGAAATATTGACAGTCTTAAATTAACAATTACCTACTTTACATACATAAATTCAAAAATTAAAAATTAAATTGTTGCATCTTTGAAACACCTCTCTTAGCCCTTTTGGGCATTGAATTTGAACATTTACACAAAGTTTTTGTTTTTATATCTCATCACAGGGCTGGCATCCAATGCCTTTTATCCCTTTGGCCAGGGGCTCAAAGCCATTACTAATCAGGGTTTCCAGACAGTCCCCCATCTAGGTATATGTGGTGTCTCAAGTTACTTAACTTCCATGACATCAAAGAGTGTAGTTAAGCAATTTGGCTAGTGACTCCAGTGATGATCCTTCAACAGTCATTCAGAAAACCAACTTTTTCTAAATTATTTATTTTAAGAAAAATGTAAAGCAAGGATTTAATAATAATAATAATAATTTTCTTTTTATTTGTTCATAGACTTCTTCAAGAGAGTTTTCAAGCTTTGTCAATCTATTACAAATACATCACAATATAGTAAAAAATCCTAGTAATAAATTATACAAGTACACAGTCTAGTGTTAAATTTACATAGAATAAAATTATACAATGTTCTTTGCAAATTAATTTAATTTTCAGAGCTCCATTTAGATACTCCAAAAAGAAAGTTGTTTAAAAACATTTTGTTTTATAGTTAAGTAAATAAATTTAATGGAAGTTTTAATGAAAGTTTTAATGAAAGTTTTAATGAAGTTTTAATGAAAGTTTTAATGAAAGTTTTTAATTAAAGTTTTATTGAAAGTTTTAATGAAATGTTTTAATGAAAGTTTTAATGAAAGTTTTAATGAAAGTTTAATGAAATTTTTAATGAAGTTTTATGAAAGTTTTAATGAAAGTTTTAATGAAAGTTAATGAAAGTTTGAAATGAAAGTTTTAATGAAAGTTTTATGAAGTTTAATGAAAGTTTTAATGAAAGTTTTTAATGAAAGTTTTAATGAAAGTTTTAATGATAGTTTTAATGATAGTTTTAATGATAGTTTTAATGATAGTTTTAATGATAGTTTTAATGGTAGTTTTAATGGTAGTTTTAATGATAGTTTTAATGGTAGTTTTAATGATAGTTTTAATGGTAGTTTTAATGGTAGTTTTAATGGTAGTTTTAATGATAGTTTTAATGATAGTTTTACACCTCTCAAAAGTCATGTAATGCAGATTGGTTATTGACTCAGTAAATTATTACTATTGACATGATGAAGCGACTACAAAAATTAATATTCACATTTATTATACATGATTAAATCCTATAATATAAAATCAAAATGATTAGGTCAATCAATTTATTCAGATGTATTATGCAAGCAAAATATGTTTATTGATTCATTTTTCTGTGCATAGTTTTATTATATCATTCACATATCATCATATTTATTAAAATGGGGATAATCAAAAAGGATGCCTATTGGTGTACTTTTTACCATCTCATGGCCAACACTTACTACCTCAGAGTAGATGAAGAACAGGACCTAGCATAAATTAAACTAACTGGATATCTTATTTGAGGAACAATTTATGAAGGACCTTTAATAAGAATGTGGTCGGTTTGCTAAACAGTAAGAAAGTTGGTTAAGCATTACTGTGACATTTTTGACAGATTGTGTGCCTGTGAAATATCACCATGACAAAATGGAACACTTCAAGGTAGACTAAGTTATGTAGTAATCACAAAAGGATCTGCAGGAATAAAGCTGAAATAACATATTAAATTGTTTATATTTGCAATGCATTGGCAAACACAAGATTCAGTTTTGAAAATACTTCTTATACCCTGATCATGTGTATCATATCACTAAAAGTTCAACTTTTTATGGGCTGAATACTGTATACAAATGAAATAGTAACAATGGTGAATATAGTAATGTAAGCCTCAGTGATATGTTCATTACTTTCAGTGAGTGTTCCCTTTGAAAATAATAATCACAAAATTATTTATTTGCTGCTGACCATATTATATCAAACAGAAATATATTTTGTTCATACTTAAGGCAGTGAGTTTTTGAGATTTAATGTTAGAAAATTTGAAATATTTTTAATGTCTGATCTTCAAAAATTTACCACATAAATGAACAAAGACTGAAATGACAGAATGTTTCACTCATAATAACTCTCTGTGTGGAGGGTGAGAAAGAGATTCTGGAACTCAAGAAAACACATGCAGATTGTACTTCTCCCCTACATGTCAAGTACAGTTCTTACTGTTCTTTGATGAAAATAAATCAAATTAATGAAGAGTTCTCAATATACATTATTTTATCAAAATCATCATCATCATCATCATCATCATCATCATGAGACCTCTTGATCTGCTCTGTCCCAAAATTGTTCATGCCTTTTTTTTAAAAGTTGTTCTACATATTTTTTATTTAAGATTGTAACTGACTCAATATTATGGTATTTTCAATTCTTTGCATTATTTTATAATTATGCAAATCCCATAGCCTCCATGTACTTTTTTCTGTTACTCTCAGAGTAATTACTGACTAATACCTATTATATCTATACAGTAGTTGAATTATTATCTGGTAAAAGACAAAATGTAGTTTGACTTTATTTTAATATTAATATCATATGATTTTTATAATGTTGATATTTTAAAGCCTTCTAACTCTTTATGTTTCTTTGAAGAATATTCAGTGTCACACAAATAAATTGATTGAAGAATTTTGATCTTATTCTAAGCACCCTACAAATAATTCATGAATTACTTAAGTTCATTGTTTTTAACTACATAGATGCATCGAATCAGATAGAAATACTTTCAAAAAAGTACTTTGTTTCATAGTTATTGAGCAAAAAAATGGATTATTCTCCAATTCTTGCATAGTCATTTATTGTAATGTGCTTAGTCAGAGTCTGCTCTACTGGACCTGTGTAGTATCACTCATGGCTCACTTTCAGTAGAATAGAACACTACTCTACTTCTCTATCAGATGTTACAGTTTTATTTCTCCTTATTAAGATCTGCGGGACAAGAAATAGCCCTTTCTCTAAAATAATCTGTGTTAATTTGTAAATTTTCTTTGTTCGTGTTATAATACTGGTAGCAATAAGAAAACATTATTTTTCCATACATGCTATTTTTAAAAACAGCATTATTTTGTTCAAAATGCAATAAGTCAGTGCTTTTTTTAAAATTATATTCAAAATTCAGATTATCAGAATGATTGACTGAATATATTGCAAAATTAATATATTTCTATCGTTAAGGATGAAGTAAAAAATAGTTGATCTATAATTTCGTACATTATTATTCAAGAGTTTTAAAAATACTACTTCTGAAGAAAAGCTACCAAAAATTTTCTGATTTGGTGCATTTTGGAATCAACCTCTGTGGTTTTAATCTCCCGCCGTGACACGTTATACACGTTATATCTCAACAAGTTGGTACGAGATACCATACCAACTGATACCAACATTGCACCACCCACCCATATAAACTCATTATTGGGAATGTACTGAATTGTGGGTGGTGGAACAAGCATGGCAAGCTGGTGACGTGCTCATGCTGGAAGCATGTGGATAGCACAGCTGTAAGATCGGCAGTGGCGTGGAGATATTGAGTGACACATCTGTCAATTGGATTGAGAACGTGAAAATAATTTATTAGTGTTGGATTGTCGCATTTTAAAAAAGATCAAGGTCAAATTAATATCGTTCAAAATGGCAATTAATCTGTTAGCCAGCCGGTCCGATCCTCCTTTGGGTACGTAAGAAATTAGTGCTGTATTCCGCTTAAAGTTGGATACGTTTTTTCATATTTACTAATAAATAAGTATTGTCGTGTGGATGGACGTAGATGTTATTAAGTGTTGTTAGTTGATACTGTCGTCGCGCATTATAACCTCAATTTCAAAATTGTACATTTCTGTGTAATGAAATAAGAGAAAATAAAACAGACCTTTTTGTGTACGAATTATGCAAATCTTATGATGTCCACAAATCGAAAAAACCAAAAAAAAACCAGTTCATTGCTATTGATTAATATGAAATGTTCTATTCTTCTTGGTTTCAAGTTGCATTTCTGTCAGACCTTTGCAATGTAACGTTTGTAGATCGGACCAGAAAATTTAAATTAAAAAGAATATTCATAATTTTTCACTTATTCAAAGTTTTTCAAACATAAATGGTTTTATACAAAATATTATAAATTTGCATTGGATATGTTGTCTTCACTTCTTTGTGATTTGTATTTACCTACCAGTCCAATAAAAGTACTAGTGATTTGTAATGAACATTATTTAGTTCAAATGGAAGATAACATTTATTGAGGAAGTTTTGCCTTGCCACTAGTAAATGATATTGTCATTAAACTAACATGATGATTCATATTTTGTATGTTTGAGATATTTCACGAAAACTCCTGTCAGTCCCTTGAACTGTTGTAACTGATCAGATCGGATAACTATCAATCTATAGTTATGAAAAAATATCATTTGACATTTAAACGTACATGTATTAAACTTCCCCCAAAATGAGGCCAGTTGTGCGTCCTGTGTACTAAATATAATTGCTGGGTATGTGGACTTTTAGTAATCCAAAATTATGATAAATATGATTTTTAATTTATTTGATGTGATGTTGTGTATACCATAAGGTTACTTTTCCTTGAAATGTATTATATTATTTATAATACTATTTCTTTGAATGTTTTGTTTAGGCATTAATATTGTAATAGTCACTTGGGCACTAATGTTAAAAAGATAATAAACTATTATTAATTTTGGGTTTAAATTAAATTTTAATATCACTTTATGTATGTGGGTATGATATATTCAGTATTACAATGACTTTTTTTATTTGTGATAATTGAACTTTTTTTTTCCCCCACCTTCCCTCTCAAATGATATTATTTAGTTGATAAATATTGATAAGAAATCACAATATGAAAAATGATTTTTAGAAAAAAAGACAAGTGTATCCTGATTTGATATGGACTTTTGAAATTTGATATGTGCACATAAACTGTACATGACCTTACTAACTTATGTTTTGACTTTTTATATTTTTGTTTGCGTATTGGTAACTTTATTTTTAATGTATGTTACATTGTTTTTTTATGAGCCAGGGTACTTTTTTTGATGAAATATTTTCTTTTATTTCTCTAGCTGCACTTGTTGTGGCCAACATGGTGAGAAGTAGTGTATGTGTGTCTGTCAAGTGGGGCACAAGGAATGCGCTTGAATTGCCGGGAGCTACAATTGATTCACCTCTTAATATCTGCCGTTACCTGGCAAGAACTTTACAGAATGATTCTTTTTATGGTTCAGATGCACTTCAAAGGACAGAAGTAATTATATTTTTATACACTTTGTTTTGTTTTGGTAGTAACTGTATTACATGTAATTTTAATCAAAATTTTACAGATTGATCACTGGCTCATGTTTAGCATTGGTCCATTATCTTCAAATGGTGAATTTTCTTCAGCTGTTGAGTATTTGAATCAAGTTCTTGGTCCTGCAACTTATCTTGTAGGAAATCATCTTACTTTGGCTGATATCTATGTGTGGAGCACTTTGCACAGTAAGTATGTGCTATAAAAGTGAAATATATAATATATTAATACTATAATTTGTGATCTAATAACTCATATTTTAACCATTTTCCTCAGAATCCAGTAATTGGATCAACCTCCTTCGATCTTCTAAGGCTCTAGTAAATGCTACTAGATGGTATAATTTTATCAGTTCTTTGGACATTGTGACAGCATTGATGTCGTCTCTGCCTGACGTTGTCTCAAGTGCTATTTCTGTATCAAGTGTAACAGAAAAAGGAAACAAAGATACAGCTAAACCAAAGGATGAAGGGAAGTTTGTTGAACTTCCTGGTGCTGAGAAAGGAAAAGTTGTTGTGAGATTTCCTCCTGAGGCTAGTGGGTAGGTAGTTTATAGTATTTATTGAATAGGAAAGTATTTTCCCCAAGTTAGGACTACTTATGTACTATGATAAAACATTTTTATTGATGTAAGCTCATATTATTGAACATAACTTATTTCATATTACATAATTTATCCCTTTTTATTTGACAGTTGTATTTGAGGTTTTGGCTTTTTTATATTTAGCCCTTGAACTAAAATGCAAATAAGAAGTACATGATACAAAAATGACTTCTCTCCATATTGTTCTGAAGTTCTTCTCTACAAGAAGTGACAAATAAGACAACTGGTATATATGTTGGTTTGGAAAGATTTTAGTTACTTTTGAGCAGCTATTAAATTTTATACAAAACTAACATATTTTGTGGGGTTGTGTGGTTAATTAACACATGAGGAAAGAAACAGGAGAATTTATAACATCACAGCAAAAGCAATGTTAAAAGTATGACTCGGAAATCTGTATAACTGGCACAAAGGGACCTATAAGTATGAACGTAGCTTAGATGAAGCTTTAAGATCAATTTTCAAAGTAAAAAGAAGAGACGAAATTCAGAATGAGAAAATCAGAAAATAAATGGAAACTTAAAACCTAGTCAAAGAAATAAAAGAATACCACAGGCACTGTAGAAGAAATGAAAAGAATGAACAAACAGAACTACCGTGGTTGATGAAAAATAAGAATTGCTACTCTTGGGTATTATTGAGAGAAATCCCTTTTTATTTCAGGTATCTGCACATTGGACATGCCAAAGCAGCTTTACTGAACCAGTATTACAAAGATGCATATGAGGGAAAATTGATCATGAGGTTTGATGATACCAATCCAGCAAAAGAAAAAATTGATTTTGAGAAAGTGAGTATTTTTATTGCACTGAGAGGAGAATGTTCACTACATGTACCTACTGATGTACCTTGGACATGTAACAATGAAATTTCTGTATTTGTGTTGAACACAATTTCACCATTAAAATTCATGTAATAAATGCTTTTAAGGTTATTTTAGAAGATCTCAAGCTTCTCAAACTCACTCCAGATTCATACACTCACACTTCAAATTATTTTGAATTAATGCTAGAATTGTGTGAGAAGCTGTTGCACCAGGGTTTGGCCTATGTTGATGACACAGATGCTGAGACCATGAAACAAGAGCGTGAACAGCGCATTGAATCAAAGAATAGGAACAATTGTGAGTATGCTAGGTATGATTAGTGGAATATTTGTTTACATATTACACTATTTGTTTAGTATTTCCTGGGGTGTTTTGGGAACTTTTTTTTTTCAACTGTGTGAAACAATTATGTGTTCATTTTATTTAGTTTTTTATTTTGTCAGCATTAAAAAGAAATCCTATGTTTCTCAGTCAATCCTTGTTGGCAAGAGCTATTTGTATTAAAAATAACTGGATTATGAGCTTGTCACATTAATGCAAATTCTGATTAATAGTGGTATTGTTCAATACAACCTTAAAAATCTTAATGTTAGCTTTGCAATAAAATTTTGGTTTTGTCACTAGTAGCTGATGTTTTTTTCTTTTTCTCTCGGACATTCATTGATCTTCAAATTAAATTTAATAGAAGATTTGTATGGAATTGACAAAATTAGTTCATTTCTTCATGCTTTGAAATCCAATGATATTGTAATTTGTTTTTGTAGCTGTGGAGAAGAATTTGAAAATGTGGGCTGAAATGAAAGAAGGTTCTGAATCAGGACAAAAGTGCTGTGTTCGTGCAAAAATAGATATGAATTCTGCCAACGGATGCATGCGTGATCCTACAATATATCGATGCAAGAATGAGCCACATCCGAGGACTGGAACCAAGTACAAGTAAGTTTTTTTTAACAGTAAGTTGAAAGCACTTATTGTTTTGAGAAACTGAACAGAATTTTGAGATATTATGAATGTTAAAATATTATGCACTCTTTCGATTTTTATTTCCTTGGTGAGAGCTACTCATTCAGAGTTAAAAGATCAGACAAAATTCAAAATTAGAAAATAACTGCAAACTGAAAACCCAGCTGAATAAATAAAATAATTATTATTTTATGCACAATTGGCAGCCATTTTAACAATTAAATATGGCAATTTTGCTAACGATTCACAGCTCACTCAAGTTGTCAGTAATGTAGCAGTACATATTCTTGTTTGATGTCTTACAGTTTAAAAAATGTCAATGAATTCCAAAGGTGATAAAAACTGTTCCAATCAACTAAATATTTTAATATTTTTCAAGATTTAATTCATTAGAGGATTAACAGTATATTTTATTTATTTTTTTAAATTTTATTTTCAAATACTTTGGATGTGCAGTAGTAACGTTAATCACAAACTTTTCACACATGAAGAAATATAATTGATTTGTACAATACAGTTTCTTTTATTTGTGATTCAACATGCACTGTAGACTCGCATGATTAATTCTACTTAAATTATTGCATGTTAGGTGTAATTAGATCCTTTAGAAACATTCTTATTAAAATCATTGTTGAAAATTTACATGTAATAAAAAATTGTAAGTTTACATTATGATTATTCAAAGTCAGGATTTTATAGGAGTCTAAGAAACTGAAAAGTCCAGAAAGTTTGAGAAACAATGATAGAAATGATGATATACAAACAATGACCATATTTCTTATTTCCTATAGCCTTCAGCACATCTGTATTCAGAATATCAAATTATAGTGTTGACTATAGTTTGAGGGTCAATTCATTTTAAGAGGTCCGGTACTGGTTGCTCAACCATCTCAGAAAATATTTATACTTTATATATAAGTACCCTTATTGCTTGGTAGATCAAAAACAAAAAATTAAATAAAACAAAATGTACCTGGTTCCCAAATAGCAGGCATTTTTGTTTTAAGCTCTGCGCCATATTTTTCATTTGTTGACTCTTATGGTTTTGTAAATTTCTCAGTGCTGGGTTGCATTCACTTTTTAAACTAAAATGTATTGGATACAGTGTGGACCTATAAATCAAAGCGTTATTTACCTACCTGGTATGTTTCTCTGTGCGTAATATTTGCAGCCAAAACTTTCAAACCATTTCTTTTTAAATTTCTAAAATAATTAATTTCAATTACTAAGAATAAACTCTTTTATTTTAGAATCTTGGTTACATTTTTCATAAATGAAGCATAATCCTTTTTCTAACGCATCATATTGTCATCTTCATAAAATCTTTTTGTATGGTTACATTTTCCAGCCTTGATGCTCTGCTCTTGTGTAATTCAGGTAAAATACCTTATTCTTTTACCAGGTCTCTTGCTAATTTTATCATATGTTCTTACGCTCTTATTTCACTAGGTACTTACTTTTCTTTGGTTCCAAAAACTGGGAAGTGAACTGATGATTATAATTTTATACTATTTCTTAGGGACAGCATATTCACCTTGTAGTTTTTCTATCAGGGCATTTTTGCAGACAAAATAAACCATTTCTTTACTAGCCAGTTTCAGTTCTGATGTCTAGATTATTGTATTTCATTTACAGATAAGTATGACATTAAAGTATTGTCCAAATTATATATTAGGCAGCCTTAACGCTTATTGATAATAAAGTATTACTCATTATTTTAAAGGAATGTAGATTTGAGTTCAAAATGATTGGAAATTCAGATTATTCCTCCTTGTCACTTCTCCCCAATGTGTGCATGAAGCATTTTTCATATCTATTTACAATTTTTGAAAATCTACTTTGAGTTGAAGAAAATGTGTACTCTGCAGTTTGGGATTGTAGTGATCTTTTACAAAATTTTGCAACAATCTAGCACTGAATAATTTAAAAAAACATTAATGTCAACAAACAAAAGAATGGCCTCAATTTGTGAACCACATACATTAAAAAAAAATTTATAATTTTTTTTTAACAACCTAAAGAAAGTAATTCATATACAATGTATGGGTGTGTGTGTGTGTTTAGATAATGAAGCAACTTCACAAACATAATTAAGAATGCATTACATGGGAATAATGAAAGACACCTCTTGGAGTTAAAATTATGAGAATCAGCTGAATTAAGTTCAATTTGTATGGTATTCAGTACTATTGAATATCATTCTTTGTTGGGAAATATGGTGCATATGATTCTGGGAAGCATGTGTGTAACCTTATCAAGTTTTTATCCTTTTTTGTCAGTTGTGATTGAAGGATAATATTGCTTTTATGGCTAATTGTGTGTTTGATTGAGGCTTATGAGATTATGGCTTTTTGAAAGCTTTAAAATATTACTGCCTTTTTATTTTGTGACAAAGAAGATTAATAGAGTTCTTTAAGTTACAATACCCTAAATGGTGAAAAGGACTTGTTTGAATTTTTGCATTTAATTGTAATTTGTATCTCTAAACCTGCTGTGACAAAGTAACTTGTCATGAGAATTTTCTTTGAATTTGTGGCTCGAGTTTGTGCGTCATGTTGCTTTGAAATCTGTGCAGCTTTGGTTGGAAAACATATCACATTCTGCATACTGTAAATTGTAGTTATTGTAATATATTGTCACCAGGCAAAACAATTTATTATTAAGAACTCATTTCAACAGGGTCTGCAGGTCTGCATTTTGAAGCTGTCGAAGATGCTTCTAAAACACCATTTTTCTCACAATGTATTGGTCTTAGTATTAACAACTGTTTTTGTAGCTCCTATGCTTCCATTATTACGTCTCCCAATGCCATCAATAGTCATTGTTATACTCGCCTATTTAGGGGGATGATCAATCTAACAATCAAAGAAATTATAGTGAGCAATGCATTTGCCAATATCAGAGTTCAATATTGGGGAGGGTGTCGATTCATTTATATTATTGTGTTGGAGGATGAGATACGATGTCAACACATTTATCTAGTGGGTGGCACAAGATGATTCATCCTCCTATTACTGAAATGGGCCTTACAACTTCACTACGATTTTTTAGCAAATGAATTCCTCATTCGAAAGTAGTATACTATCTGGGAAATTCTACAGTTAATTGATTATTCTAGGGGTTCTCAAATAAGATTGTACTTCTCATGCATAACTAAATATTCTATCCTCAAAATAAAAAATATCCATAAAGGAATTAAATATTATGTAGGTGAAGTATTAAGGCACACTCATATTTATTTGTAAACAGTTTTTAATCAATAGTAATATTTTAAAAAAAAACAAGAAGAAATTCAACTTTGTAATCCATCACAATGGTAAACTCATTATTTGGGTACCTTATTAATAGATGATCTTGAAAATTCAAAATATGCTTGAACCTTTCAGTTAAGTAATTAATTTTGTCTCTGAATCTTGCCTTGGAAGATGTGCATGTATTCCTTACAGGACTAACCACATATCCGTGAGGTACTCGTACCGCAATTTGAACGCCCATGAATTATTCTTCAGCATGTTAAGTTAAAAAAAAATATACAAATGGATGAATTACAATTATTCGTTCTCGAATGTGCATTATGGAGAGTTGTATTGGACCATTGTGCATTCATGAATTTTAAATTTCAGAATGAGTAAATAGTTTTGATGGGCCTTTCTTTGTTGCATAAATAAAGTTTATTGAGGAAATACAAATGTTTGCATTAACTAATAAAATTATCAAATTTCAGTATTGTTTTTTTCCTCTCTTCTTTTTGTAAGAGAGAATTTATTACTACTGAAGTTTCATATAGCTTATGTATTAAGCAGATTATTGACATTTGTCATACTATGTTGCAATTAGAACATGACCATCGAACATGCAAATATGAAAAACATGAAATTCATTTTAGAAATATGTTAAATATTATTGATGGTAAAAGAAATAAATTCATTTGATTACAAATAACAAGAACCAGAAATTGTGTGTGCTGATTGATCCTGTTTTGTGGTTGTAAATGCTGCCCCTGAAAAGAAGGATACAAACCTTCATTGGGCAATTCATCCTGTACTCATCTTAACATTCAACCAAGCAGAAATTCTTTTGGTACTCGTTGATGGATTTTCTTCAGCATCTCCTACATCAAAGTCCCTTAATTTTTCTGAGTCTGAAGAAAGACTGCATTCAGAGGTCAGAAATAAAAAACTTAGTTTCTTGCACTTTTAATTGGGACAATATGAATTTGAAATTCTGCTCAGCGGTCAGGCTCTTTCTGCTCTGCAGTCAGGAAAACTGTAAATGTAAATTGTATCTACATAATTCTTGGTGCTGTAAATTTGTAAGTTTTCCATATGAAATGCATGTTGCAATAGTTGAAAATAAGCTAGTATGGACACCATGTTTCAACAATTATAAAAGTACATGACAGATACATGCTGATAAAGTGTGTTGAATCTGGCATGAAATTTGATACTAGTGTTTCCACTCTGCGAAAGATCAACTATCATTGCATTCAACAAAATTAATAATGCAAGTATGGCTAATGGAGGAAGAATTGACTGTATGTTTATAGGAGATTTTTGTCATAGGTACTTTAAAAGGTGTACTGTGTTGTCTTTTCCTCCCTGGACACTATATATTGACTTGTTTAATGATAATGCTATAAATTTGCTCCCTTTCAGAGTATATCCAACATATGATTTTGCCTGCCCAATTGTGGATAGTATTGAAGGCGTGACTCATTGTTTGCGTACCATGGAGTATCACGATAGAGATGAACAGTTTTTCTGGTTCATTGAGGCTCTTGGATTGCGCAAGCCACATATTTGGGAGTACAGTAGACTCAATATGATGAATACTGTTCTTTCTAAAAGAAAGCTGACATGGTTTGTGGATGAAGGCTTAGTGGATGGGTGGTGAGTGTATTTGTTATAATTGAAAATGTGTTTTTAGATATTTTTAGTGGCCTGCAGCAACAAAATTGCTACTGAAAAGAACAAGTAAAACACTCTTGTATAACTGCCATAAATTAAATATTTGAACAAAACAGTCTTAACAAATACTGCAATAGCATTGTACAGCGCAACAACTTTTTACATATCCAGAATATTAAAAGTAGTTGTTTCATAAGACAATACATAAATAGCAAATATTAATATAATCATTGATGTGTCAAGTCTATTGTAAAATTGTAAAATGTTAATTAATGTGCCTTTTTAAATAATTGTATGTTGGCATCATAATATATTATATTTAGAGCTGTGAAGTTTGTGCAATTGTATGGAGAAATACTGAAAATAAGGTAAGAAAAGTTTTGTATATACGGCATATTTTGCATATTCGGAACTTTTTGGCCTGTAAATGAAAGTTTTTGCGTTTTTCCTACTTTTTGCCTAAAATAACACAAAAATATAAATTTCCACGTAACAAACATTTATTAATGGAAAGCATAAATTTTCTTGGTGCTTCAAATATTTTAGTACAATAAGTTTCAAACTACTGACAGCCTAAGCCACTGAAGTAATATCTACTGTCATTTGTTTATAAAGAAGATAAAGAATTCAAGGAAAATCTTTGTAGATGCACTTGCAATTATTCAGGAGGCAAGGGATAAATGCGTGGCATCTCCTGATGAGATGGGGAAAGCAAATAATAAGAAGACAAATGAATTTGTTAGTCTTTCAGACAATAAATTGAGCACAAACATCGTCTGCCATAACATCATGTGATGTCGAAATATAATTTTCTATGTACAAAACATTGCCTGATATGAGACACTCCATAACAACAGATAATTTTAATAAAATTCTTGTTCTCTTAACCAAAATAGAATGTGCAGATGTAGATACTAATCTGTTTTTAATTTGCATACTCTGTGTCTTGAGGTGGCAAAAGAATGTAATGTAATTGCAAAATACGTTTTTGTGATCAAACACCGCATATCTTACCAATTTCTGTGCATATTTCAACATTTTTGTGGCACATTTGCAAGTGTATTTCCAGGCTAAAAGCTTGCATAATCTTCCCAGCTCTAATTATATTATATGATGTCATTTTTACTGTAGGAATCATAATTTATGCCTCTTAGGATTCATTTTTCTTTTTAATTATAAAAAAAGCAGATTATTGTTCTTCCAAAATCCATCTCATACTTGTGGGCAAATGCAATTCAGTAAACATTTATATTTCTTTGTAGGGATGATCCTCGTTTTCCGACAGTTCGTGGAGTATTACGCCGTGGTATGACTGTTGAGGGTTTGAAACAATTTATTGTTGCTCAAGGTTCTTCCCGATCTGTTGTTTTGATGGAATGGGATAAGATTTGGGCATTCAATAAGAAAGTGAGTATTTGAAACCATACATTGCATGATAAAAGTAACCAGACTGTAAAAATTGCATTCTTAATCTTAGGTAATCAACAAGTATTTTTTTGTTCTGATACCTATTCATTAAGGTTGCAAAAAGCTTCTTAATTTCACAATTTATGGAACTACTTTTGCTCGTATGGTGGTTTGCATTTGTGTTACTACCTTGTAGGTTATATAGCACATATACCTCATTAAAATACTTTTTGATATAATTTTGCATTAACTTTTAACATTCAAACTTAGTAAAAAAATTAGTGGTTTCAGAATAAAATAAAAGTGTCTCTTATCTTCACGACACAAAAACACAAAGTAAATCTTTGTATGACTTGTCAAGGGAGGGAAATAGGTAATTACATCTCTGAACTTAAGCAAAGAAACCCAATGGTGCTACAGGCTTTCTGATCTCATTTGTAATGGTTATGTAATATTATAATACTAGTTAAGAATGTGCAAAAATTTCGCTCTTCAAACTTGATTGCATATGTTTTCACAGCCATCAAGTTATTACACGACAAGTTCAAATAGTACGATTTTAGAAGTTTCAAATTGGTTTTGTAGTAATAAATAATTAGTTAATGAAGGAAAAACAGTTTCAATGAATTTTTGCATTTCAAATCAGCAGTCGCATGCTCCATTGAGAACAATATGCAATTAGCTGATGTCCAGGTAACAAGATTTCTAGGTCTCTCAATTCAGTCAAACCTCAAATGGAATATACATAGAACAAAATTAAACACTAAATTAACTTAATTATGTTACGCATTCAGAATTCTTTGAAATTCTGTCAGTCTTCATGCAGCTCGTTGCGTGTATTTTGTAAATGTACATTCCTGCCGGAGATATGGCATAATATTCTGAGGAAACACATCATGTAGTATTTGGACCTTTAGATTGCAAAAGAAAATTAGAATAATGAACAAATGCCATCCATGTGATACCTGTAAGCCTCTCTTCATTGAGTTTGGAATCTTACCACTGCCTTGCCTATATATTTATGAATCTTGTAATATTCATCAAAAGTGACTTACTTAATGGTGGAAACATATTTTCATGCAATACTGATATTTATTATTACAACACACGTCGTAAAAATCACATTCTTCAAGTGTCATAATTAATAGCTCACTATTAAAAATCCACATACAATACATATCCGTTACTTTACAATGCATTGCCAGATGACATTAAACAATTGAACTCGGTTCACAAATTTAAGTTGAAAGTAACATCTTTTGTGCTGCATTAAAAAGACTTACTATGTTTGTAACAAATCATGTACTTCAGCTTCCGGGTCAATGACCCCATCTTGATCAGGTTTTTGTCCAGGTTCCCTGATGATTGAGCAAATGCTGAGATGGTCCCTTGTTTTGATTCTGGACGTAAATGTAGCTTCACTGTGTGTATGGTTTGTTGAACTCTCGTTTTGCTTGTAATTGTAGGGGTAGAGGTAAGGGCGAGTTACTATTTTGATAGCAATGCAGAAAAATCACACTTACCTTCATTTATCAATGCAAATAAGTTTTCTATAATTTGGGAACAAGAATGTCTATTTTTTTTCCCAAATATTGCTGATCTCGTGCTTTTTTAATATTTATTTTTATTTATTTATTTTAAACTTTTACAAGTCTTTCAACTATTTATAGTTAAAATGATGGGAAGGGAATCTGGAACTCAAGAAAACGTGCACAAATGATCTTCTCCCCCATACGTCACATACAGTTTTTTCTGTTTTTTTATTATTTGTTTTTAAATTTTTTTATTTTATTAAATAAATCTAAATCTACACTGTGTTTCATTGAACCAACTTGCTTTTGTTGTAATTGGCTGAAATTTGAAATCTAGTGTGTAGATTTACAAGTTTAATGTGCTAACCTAGACCACTAGATCATCAGAGAGATCAGTTTTAGAAGCATCCATGAAAAATATATCTATAATTTTTCAAATTAAAGAATTTATGGTAATGGGACCTTTACCATAGACTTTAGTGCTCAACAACTACAGCAAACCAAACAAAGAGCCATTGTTCGGAAATCATTTTCATGTATTGAAATAATCCCCCTATCATCAGGAAGAAGGATAATTAATTAATTAAGTTTGCACTACCTTCCTGCCTTCGTGGGATGTGGGAAGGAACATTGTATCACCCACATTCATTACAAGAAGAAAGATTGACGCCCTTTAGATCCAGTTAATTAATGTAAATAACAAAGTAATTAAATTAAATTAAAAATGACATGATTTTTAATATAATTATTAATATAGCTTGACATATAACGTATATATGGAAAAAATCACCCATAAATGAATATTAAACATTCTTCATTCACAGTTTCTGAGTTTCTCTTGCTTCCATAAATTTTACCTTTCCATGTACGTTTGAGTTTTATGGTTTTCATCTTGTTAAACTGATTATGAAACTCATAAATATACTCACCACCTCTGCCTAATGGCTGAATTGGGACTGTTTGCTGCCTCTTTCGATGCACAATGCGTCACAGCCCAAAGTACTATGATCTCCTGGTACCCTCGCTTGGCCTTGAGGAATTAGTCTCTGGCCGAGGGGTTACGAATTTGAACATGGGGTAGGAAGAGGCACGAATAGAAGTAATGCCTGTACATTTTCCTACACTCAGAAAGTTGGGGAGGGAATTCCTCTATGGCCTACCCTTTGAGAGACAAGTGATCTAATTTGAAATTCTACGCTGTCAGCTGAAACCTCTCTCCTTCACAGGGCGGTTGTCACGACTTAATCGTGTGGGATACAGAATTTAATGCATTACATTAAGAATATCTCAAGTCTCTGCCATTTGCATTAAATTTCCTGGAATTCCGTTTTATATAGATTTTCTCTCCTATGAAAAACCGTTCCGTTTCTGGGTTGGTCAGATTCTGTTTTATGCTGTTTAAAATACCATATAACTCCACGGGTCAGAGAAAATTTTCGGTAAAGGTAAGTTTCCGGCTTGTACAAGTTCCTATTCAGAGAGGTTTTACTGTATTACTTTTTATTTCCATCATCAGTTCGTCCTTAAGATACAGTAATCGTTGAAATCAAAACTCTTTGATCGTTGAAGTATAAGTGCTTGCCGCTTTTAGTTTACATTATTTCTTTTCTTTGCTATCTTAGTATTTTTTATTTAAATGTATCACTAAATGAACAAATAATTTTTAAATAAATCATTTAAATTATATAATTCCAACCATAAAATTTTCTAATTACTGTCACCCCTAAAATGGTGACACCCATCGCATCGCCCCCCTCCATGCCTCCCTTAACTACTTCCCTGAGCAGCGGTACAATTCGGAGAGGGGGGGTACAGTTACCTTAAAGTTGACACGAGTACCACTTTGTGACAAGACAATGTTCACTGGTAATGAAGTGCCAATATTGCACGTTGCAGCTCTGGCAGGAGCTGGCTGTCCGAAACACACTCAACGAAAATTTTAATTGTAATGAATCTATATCTCTACTTCTCTCACTGCGAAGTCTCTTGTTTCTTCTCCTTCACTGGCAAAGTAGCCTTCCATTCTTTCTATATGAGCTAATGGTATCAAAGTGGGGTCTAACTTTGGCCAATCAAATATCATTGAACGCCCAATTTAAATTATTTGTAAAAGTGGCTAGAATTCCAAAAGTGATAATTTACATATAACTTCTTTCTGGGAGAAACAAAGAATTTTAATACTATGTCATATTTTAATTTTTTTGATTCCATTTTCTCACACTTGCTTGCAGTCATCTCAAAGAGATTTATCACTTCTTGTAATTGTTATCTAATTTGAATAGTGTGAATTGGGGGCATAAGTTGTAACGAATGAGAAAATAAAAGTGTAGAAAACACCAGATGGCGAAGGAAGTGCTAGTTTAGTTTTGTCAGGTTTTGGGCAAGGGTCAACCGCTTCTGTAAATAAATTTAGCAGGTAGATTGTCTTCAATAGAAAAAAAATGTGAATTGTGAATGTGATAAGTTTTAAAAGTATATTTCCAATATAAGGGTTATTTAAATATTGGCAAGATTTTGAAGGTTTCGCAAGTGCAACCCCAAAATTTTTAAGTCATATTTTCATATTGTTTAGGTCATAAATGCTTGCAAATTTCTAACATTTTTAGGTCATAAACATTCTGGCCCTACTGATTAGAGAATGTATCCGAATCCTTTCAAATTTCTCCATTCAAAAAATCCAAGAATTTGAAAGCCTAGGAGGGTGAGGCATTCTCTTCACAAAAGCTAGTTTTGAAGGACAGACAGACAGATGCACTGAAACTGACAGACAGACAGACAGAAGCGCGCTGAGACAGACACTGACTGACTGGTGTTCACCAAGATGGACAAATCGACCGGGGCAGAGATGGTAGAATTTTTTGGTATCTAGGACTCCAGGATTCTTGATATACAACGTGAGAGGGGAAGTAATATATTACACATTGAAACAACATTTATCCCCTTTTTTGATTGTAGGAGCTCATTAGATGATGTAATCTGTCATCTAATCTCCATCTTTGTCACATCGTTAGAGTAATTTCTTTAAATTATGTAAGTAGTATGGGAGAATGGGAAACAAACAGGGACACAAAAATATGTATTTCAGACAAAACTCTTTTCATTGAATTTTGGTATTATAGATCTTGCTCTAAACCAAGTATATACTCCTGAAACAATGGTATACCAGAAATTAAAAATGAGAGGAAACGTGATTATGAATGGAGATGCTGAACTTAATTTTGAGGCTGATAACTTTTTTTGTAAAATCATTTTGTAGTAAAGGGCTAGGAATCCTACCTATAATATATTAGTATCTCTTTTTCCTTCAAAATGGTAAACAAGAATAGGAAAGTAGTATGAGAAGGTCCCTGACATTATTTTCATCTGGAATTGAGTTTTTTGCAGTTTTTGTATGTACTGCTCATAAATAGAAACAAGTGGTACCGATTAAGTGAAATGTCTTGATTTTTATACCAAACAGTAATTGAACTTGGGTAAAGGTGGAATTTTTGTAACTAGTAGCTTTTATCTACAATATTCGTGCTCATATTGTTTCACTACACAATATTCGTACTCATATTGTTTCACTACATCTAAATTTTCTTAAAGTTCTTTTTTCTTTCAAGGTTGCTTGTGAGTACGATACATGTTTATTAATATTTTATGAAAGGACTTTTTACTGTCAGATTCTTACAATATTTTTGTTGTAAATCTTTTTAATTCATTGTATGGAACAACAAAACAAATATTACAAACGATTCAGACTATTTAGAACAAATACTTTGCATCTTGAAGAGACGACTACCTGACAGTTTGTTATTTTCAGGTAATTGATCCTGTGGCACCACGATACACATCATTATCCACAGATAATGTGCCTGTTCTTGTGAAGAAAGTAACTGCTCAAGCAGTTAATGTTCCCAAACATCCCAAGACTTCAAGTGTTGGTGAGAAAACTATTTGGATTGGTCCCCGTGTCCTTATTGATAGGGAAGATGCAGAAACATTGAAAGAAGGTGAAAATGCTACTTTCATCAACTGGGGAAATTTGCTTGTGGAGAAGATAAACAGGTTGGTGAATTGAAGTGATTGAATTGCACCTTTCATTGAATATCCTGTCAAATAACATTGTTGATAATTGTGAATGGAATTTTTTGCTTATTATTGTTTGTAGTTTGTTGTCTTAGTTCATAATTTCAAACTGTTGAGTCTTTAAATGTAAATTTTATTGTGCTTAAAGCTAATTACTTGTCTCCAAAGTAACTTGTGTGTTAATGTTAAATAAAATTGTGGTATTGACAAAGAAAATATTTGCAAATAAAACCACATATAGTTCAAAATTGATTAAAAGTGATCACATCACCTGGTTAATCCAATATTTGTACATTGTGTTTTCTTCTTTCATAGACTATATTTATCCAAATATAAGCAGGTATACACATTCAATTTGACATACTTTCATTTATCATACACTATATACATACATCTACACATATCATTTAGCTTTTCCTGATATTTGATTTGTAGTTGTTTGCTGCCATATGAAATGTTAAATTTATTAGTGTTGGTGTGTTCATTGCCACATTCTCGAAAGATGTCTTAGGTTTTTGTTGTGTTTAAGGCATCTGAATATAAGATGACGCCCTTAATTTAGCAGAGGCTTCTTAATTTTTCATTAATTCTTACTATTCAATGAAAACAATATTGCAAATTGTCTTATTGACTCGAAAACGAACTTCTATCAACAAAACAATTCAGAAGGTGAAATTGTTTTGCTTGATCTATCACTTTTTTCTTTTGCCTTAGGATCATCATTGTCATATCAGTCATTCGAAACAAATCACCCAAATTTAAGGAAAATTTCAGATTTAAAATCTTTTTCTACGAAGAGTATAAACAAAAATATAAAATGTTTGTTTCTCCCCCCTCCCTCAGATGTTTTCACCAAGACAAAATTAATTTTTAAAATATTTGAAAAATACTCGCATAGCGAGTTAATTGTTTTCAACTTGGAATGAAAATAATGAAAAGATGCTCTTTTATTTGATGTATGTACTAAATTCATTAAAATTAAATTAATTAAATTGGTATGTGAAGCCTGTGTTTCATTTCTTCCTTGTCTGGCAATAAATACTGTTTCGTATTACTTACTACAATAATGGACAATCAGATGACCAATCAGCAAACGAAATGAAGTCTGGAAAATTTGCCCCAATCTTTCTTGAGTGGTATGTGACTTGTATTTTGGAGCAGAATCCTGTTTGAAATTTACAGCTGTTGGTTGTTCTTGATTCCTATTGGTGTTTCCAATAAGATAAAGCAACTTGTGGGCAAGTAATTTAATCAAAGCCTTGCCAGGAAGATTAAAGGCTTGTGTGTGAAAATGGCAGACACTTTGATTAGTGCATATAACATAAGTAGTATAAATATGTGTTCTGTTGTATGTAAAATTTCCACTTATTCCTTTGAACATTACTCCAAATATTGCACTATAATTTGCAACTATGTTTATAGCCAAACTAGGAATATTGTTGTACTTTCATTATTTGTAATTTTCCTTAAAGACTTTTTTTGGATGTGTATAGAAGTACATAATATGATATTTATTATGCGCACGTAGCCTACTTAATTAAACCCATTAAATTCCATATTTTCAGAAATAACAAGTTTATTACAGTGTTTTATTTTTAAATTTGTTCGAAGATAAACCCTGACAGGGATATCAACCTATGTTTCCGCAATTCCATTCCCTGTCAGAGTGACAATTCTTTCAATAAATTTAGTTATAAAAAGTCATTTGTTACCCATTAACAAGGTCACTACTTCAATTCATTTACTGCTGTAAAACAGATTTCTGGACATAATTGACTCCCAAATGGAAACAGGGTTGGTGACAATTATAAATATTTTATTTAAACAAATTGGAGAAAACTAGGTATAAAATCTCAACTCTTTCCTTTAGTGTGATGACAGTGTTCATGTTATTTTCTTAGCTTTTGAAAATCGTTTTCATTTCTCTTAGGTTTTTGTGTTCTGTCCTGCTAATTTGTTTGTTTTGCTGTTTGTAAAGGTGCCTTTTTCTCTTCGTTTTCTGAGAATATTTTTCTTTCTTTCTTTCTTTTTTTTTAATTTTGAAAAATTAATTACTACTTAAATATTGTTTTTGTTATCCCTAAATATAGTAAGTATTTAGGTGTATAAAAGTTCCTAATTGTAATAGTAAGAATTAGTTAAAGATTTAATAAGTCTCGGGAGGCCTCTTCAAAGTTAGGGGTCATTGTCAGAGTTGATGTTGATGATCACAGAATTGTCAGAGTTGACTTATATTTGGGTAAATACAGTAACGTCCAATTTTTCCAAGGGGTCAATCATACAATTTCATCTTTGATTGATCAGATTGTTGATTGTTCATTGTTGTTGAAATATGATTTTAGGAAAGACGGCAAAATTACATCTATAGAAGCTTCACCAAATATTGAAAACCAAGATTACAAGAAGACTGTGAAACTTACATGGCTTGCTGAAACAGATCAGGCACCCTTTGTTCCTTGTGTTTGTGTGTATTTTGACCACATTATTAGTAAGTCAGTTCTTGGTAAAGATGAAGATTTCAAAGATTATGTGAACAAAAACACTAGAGTAAGTATTGTAGCAAAAGCACAATAGTTTATTTTTGTTAATATCCAATAAAAACTAATGTTTTCTTTGTTCACAGAAAGAAGTTTTTATGTTGGGTGATCCAGAGCTTCTAAAAGTAAAGAAATCTGATATTATCCAGCTCCAGAGACGTGGCTTTTTTATTTGTGACACAGAATATGCTCCACCAAGGTAAACAAATGAATTGATTTACTGATTACTAGTTTAGTGGTGTTTCCGATGATATAAGCCTTTTCCCGCAACCAATTTTAATGATGCTACCTACAAGCAGACTTCAGCTGACCGAGGAGTGTTTGCAACAGAATTATCCTTAAAGGTATAATTTTTTGATGTGGATAATGAAACAGCTGTAATTTAATTGTTTCAATAACATAACCTTTCAAAATACTTAACATTTGTTTATTAAACAGTTTTTGTCTTATTACAGATTGCCCCCACTGTTACCATAGTTATGCTCATTACAGACAGGTTTTGAACACATGCTACATATTTGTTTCCTATTTCTTTCTCAAGGGCCCAAATGACATTTTTGGCATTGTCAGACCTTTTTTGTCGTGGGAGCTCCTTCTTCCCCAAAAACGTGCGGTTGACAGGTGACACTTGTGTAACATTCAATTCTGTTTGACTGTCTTCTTACATTTTGTGTACAAACCAAATTCTTGGCAATATCAATATATAAAAATTGTATGAACTCATATTTTCTAACGTTCCGTCAGGGTCAGCAACATTCCTAACACTGTGCAGTTTTCCCGTAAAACCTGGACCACACATAACTTCAAAAACCCTCTCCTGACTCGCCTACGTACTAATCCACAGGAACACTGTCCATGATAGTGGCGATCTTAGAATTGCTCACATGTAGCGTCGCGGCCATGCAAATTATACAATTTGCAGTCATAGAATCATCTTGAAATAAACTTGCATGAACATAAGTCAGCCTGGCAGTCGAGCTTTATGTGCAGCCATGCAGCTCAAGCAGCAAGCGAAGTAAAAGTCCAATTGAAAACACGCACGAAGTGACTCGCTCACAAGTCGTGTGAGACATTCACCGAAACAGTAATTCAAGTGTTGAGTAATTAGAAATCTTGCAGGAACTACATAGCAGCCCTGTGCGACCCATGCCGTAGCAGAAGTAGAAGTCTAATAAAAATCATACGAGTGCTAGTCAGCAGCCCTGCGAACTAACTCCTAGCGAGCCACAGTTTGGAAGCAGAAGTCAGTCTAACAATAATCGCACGGGCGCTATTCAGCAGCCCAGCAACCTATGCCCTAGCAGGTCACAGAAGAAATCCTTGTTTCTCCCGTAAGCTCTTGCCTCGATTATCTTTCTTTAACTTCAATTTTTGGGCCCTGATTAACTTGAGTCTATTGCGTCTTAAATAATTCTCCACCAATCACATTTCGCTTCAGAAGGTTCTCAAAATGGAAAATTCCCATCCAGCGCTTTCTCCCTCACTAACTTCATTGATGTTAAATGAGAAAATGCGTAGTTTCTCCGTGCAACATGAGCGCTTCTGAGCTGATTAAATTTATTTGATGGTGTCAAAAGGGGAGAATGCTGAGAGCAACAAAGAGCGATCTCTTTGTTTAGAAATGTGTCCTCTACAGGTCAACATGGGGTGGGGGGTTCGGTGGGCGGGTAGGTACACAAAAAAAGTTGATGCCCGGCACCGGCACCGGCACTGGGGGGTGGGCAGGTCTCAAGTGGCTGCCAAAGGGTCGTTGATGACTTGGCGTGCTAGTGGCGGAGGGACTGGGGCTCTGCAAGTTGGTGCCCGCAGAAAGGTGAAATCTCTTAATAATTTAATAAAATCATGCTTATGTTTTAGAGGCCCCAGTTGGTAGGACCTATGTACCGCCACAGTTCCATGAAGAAAATGGTATATATTTGAAGTAGCCAGAGATGAAAGTTGAGATTTGGTATTCATCTTACTTCTTGTTGATAAAGATGAACTTTCCAAGACAGACAACTTCAACTACGCAGATTTATATTGTAGACTGTAAAGAATAATTCTCTGTATTTCTATCTGTAATGAAAGCAAAATATGTACATTTTTTAGTTGTTCGTAATTATTGCTTTTTGTGTGCAATGAAACATACGCAATGGGAAATATCAAAGAAAAAGAGGTACCCAAGGAACCCTAACTGTTGATGGATATTGAGTATGACTTTGCCTTTGTTTTCTCTACAATAAACAACAGAACAATTATCCTTCTATAAACAAGTAATAAAAAATGTTTTCTTTCTATTGGTGCAACTTTCTACTTTCTCGTCTTACAACATTTATGTAGTAAAGTTAAGAGTTGTAATATTGTGGCAAAAAGAGTGGTAATGAAAAAGTGGCTTTATCGTAATCCTATGTGTAGTACATTGCTTCCTCTTAACAAATTTTACAGATCTTCCTGAAAAATTTATTGATTGGCAAAATGTTTCAGTGTGTGGTCGAAGCTAATACTGAAAGTGTTCAGATGTTTTTCTTCAAAATTAATATTTACAAATCTATACATCTATCTATGAACATGAATGAACTTGGAAGCCCTGGGAGTTTGAAACATATATTGATTTTTGAGGGTACATTAAAGGAAGCCTTAATGTTATCAAAATTTTCTCAAAAATGGCTCCAAAATTTTGAATACACTTTGTCCTCAGATAGCATAAAGAATACTAAAATAATTGTCCAGGTCTCATTTTCATTAAAAACCCTGAATTTTAGAAAATTGCGAAAGGTAAAAATTTGTTTAGCCTCTTCCCACAACTGCAATACGGTACTGAAGATTGAATTTTCCTTAATTCTGTTGTTGTAATTGTTGCAATTTTTAAACAATTATTCTCTCAAAAATGGCACTAATTTTATTCTTTAATTGTTTTCCTTGTACGTAACAAAGGACAGTAAAGAAACTGATCTTTCCCATTTTCATTGAACTGTATTTTCGAAAATTGCAAAAAGTTTGCATTGCAGATAGCAGTTTTGTTAAATGAAATTATTCTAAAAAATGATATCTTTAAATAAGATCCTGTAGGTTTTTTTGTTTTTTTTAATGAGCCGTTTTGGCAAAATTTTTTCTTGAAGTTAATGCAATTTTTAAAAATTTGTTTTTCTCAAAAACTGCTCCAAATTTTGTCTTTAATTTATTTTTCTCAGATAGAGTAAAGGGCCCTTAAAAATTTACGCCAGTCTCATTTGCGTTGAAATCTGTATTTTTGAAAATTGTACAAATTAGAAATAATGTGAAGAAGTGATAGTTTTTTAAGCATCGGGAAAACTTCGATTTAAGCTATTCTAATTATTCGCCTCTACAACATTTCTTTCTTTGCTTACTTTTATGAGGTTCAGTAATGTATATTATAAAGTTTGTTTTTGAGTTGTTTAACACACAATTGAGATGCATTTGATTCCACTCCTTGCTGTCTTGATTATGTTCTACAGTTTAGCCATAATTAGGTTTTATATAAATGGGCCATAAGTAATACAAATGTATTACAATATTATACTTGGTCATGTACCGTGTACCATACTGTTGACCCAACTCATGACTATAGACATTCAATTAATATATTTATTTATTTTTGTTAAAGTCTTCATTGTGGTCGTGAAACTCCAATTGTGCTGTTCTACATTCCTGATGGTCGAACAAAAGAAATGGCTACATCAGGAGCTCCTAAGGAGACCCCAGCTCCGACGACTACTACTACTACTCCATCAGTAAGTTAAAATATGTATTTGAGTATCCTTATGTATCTAAATGTATTTTCATTTTAAGAATTATTTACATTCCCCATGCTAAAATATTTTTTTTCTCTGAAGATCAAAAAAATCTGCCATGTGAAATACTTTTCTTGCCACCAGATGTCAAAAATGCTATGTTATGTAATTTCAAGTATTTGTACATGCTCTGTTGTTATTACTACTAATATATTAGTCATTAAAATATTAGTCATACTGTATTTTCATGTTTTTTTGCTGCTTTAGTGCACATGCTGGTGATTACTGTGAATGCTTTCTTGGTAACTTTTTCTTATGACTGGAAAAATTGTATGCCGTTTTGTAATTAACATCATAACTTACATTGTGCCAGCTCAATTCAATATTCCTGTAGGAAAACAATATGGACTTCGAGACAGAAGTGTTTTGACCTGGCTTGAGTGATTTTTGAATTGATTGAATTGATTTTTGAATTTATACCTGATTCACTTTGCCATCAACAGAATTGGAAATATCGGCTGGAATTATTATTTAAATCTTGGACAAGTAAATCAAATTTCTGTAAGATTGTGTAATAGCAAACGATTGCCTAAATTTGAGGGAGAACCATTTTAACAATAGGATACTTGATAACTATGACACAGAACAAATCCATAGTTGCATCTATTAGAAGTTTTGCACAGCGTAGTATAAAAAGTGATTAACAATCTTGTGACCAGTAGTGTGTGATGCAATTGCAAAGCATTGCCAGGTCTAGTAGTTTTGTCTAAAAGGAACATTTTTTTCAATTTCTGTTAGTCCCACCACCACCAAATTTTCACATCTAATGTAACACAAGTAAATACATTCTTTAATGGGAAATATTTCAGGGAAAAAATATTTTTCATTAAAGTAACTATTAAAATATTACAACTTTTACTTGTTTTCAAAAATTTATATTTTCACAAATAATACAAGTTTGAAAAAATCTCTTGTCAAAATGTGTTACAAATGTTGGATAATTTGGGGGGAAAGTTAAAGGAGATAGCTTCAATAATTTTTGAAAATATGTTTCTCAAAGAATCACCAGGTTAGCCCTGGAGAAAAACACCTCTTTCTGGTGCCGTTAAGAACTTCTCAAAACCTCTCTGTATTTGGTTTTCAAAGTAGTGTTTACTCAAATAATAATTGTAAATGTTGATTTTACATTTCCTGTACTTTTTCCAAGATTTAGTTTAATGAGCAAACTACATCACCGAGCCTGGTATATATGAAATTCTGACGTTAAAGAAGCCACACGTGAGTCGAGTTTGTGGCATGGCTTTAACACAACTGTGAGTTGTTGAAGAATTCAATGTTTTTACTTTACCTCTCAACTTATTGTATTTTTAGCAAAAATGAACATGAGAAGATGACATCTAATTTGTAGAAAAAATTCCAACTATCGTGGTTTACAGAAATAGACCGAAACAAGGAACAGTTTACACTA